TGGATGCTGTGCAAGTCCAAGCTCTCAAAATGATCGATAAATTTGTGGAAACTCTCAAGTTCAGTGCATGAAGTGTTATTGTAACCGTCACTGCATTGATAATATAAAAACGCATCTTTTGGGTTTGAAGTGAAGCCGGTGCACAAGTGCCTTAAAGCTGCGTTCTTTCTGCAGGCGGCTGCAGCTCACACTTTGGGAATCAGTGATGCAGAAAAATGTTTTAAAAGCCTTTTAACGTTGGCAAAATAAAGCAAGGAGTTAGTTTAGTAAATTATGGCCACGTTGGATGATAATCCAATGAGCTTGCAGCGTGCTTCAGTTTGTGCGCTCACGCATCACATCCGGTCTCAAAACGTCTCGTTAAACAGGACTTGATGTGCTGAGTCCGTCTTTCGTACGCGTGCTGGACTCGGCTCAGATTGGATACCGTGCTGACTCGCGGCTCCATCTTGTGGTTCAAACTGGAATTACATGAAAACGCAGCTGATCGCACAAGCTTCTGTGCATCCTGCTGCTAGTTTTACACGAATCACGTTTAAGGCACCGGTGTTGTCACAGCGCTTCGACCTCTGACCTCGATCCTCAGGTGGCTTCTAGCTCTCAGTAGCTGTAGCTGAGACGGGAGAGAAAAGCTGGGTATGGACAGACTCTCCTCCCTCGCTCGCTCTCCGAGGTTTTTCTGCGTGAGCGAGGCAAAGACAGACGGCAGTGGGTGGTCGGGGTTATTAATGGGCAAATCTCCTCCTCACGGTCAAGAGCACAAAGAGCACAAGCACAGGTAGAGTAGCTGTCACGTGATCCTCCATGATGTGACGACTCATCGTTGTCCTCGTCAGCTGTCGTTGTGTTGTGTTGTTCTGCTCTGTGTGCGTCCTGTGAGACCAACCTCCTCGTACTAAACCACTGAACACACGTGCAGCATTTAACCCTTTTATGTGACTGTTGCTTCTTCTTTTTTCCAATTTTTTAATCCTTTTTTTCGATCTCTTCTGTTATCATTTACCAGACAAAAAGGCGGGAAACGTGTGAGGCCACACAAAGAGGATTAGAACTGCCCGGGATTCGCTGAGCAAGGAGCTCTGAGCCCCACCCCCCCCAACTCCTCCACTTTCTTGTCCTCTTATTTCCTCCCCCGTCCTCCTCCTCCTCTCTCCCTTCATCCCTCCCAATAAATGGAGTAATCACGTGTTATCAAACCAACATGGTGAGAAACGAGAGACGGAGAGAAAGATGCAATTCATGTAGACGAGAAGAAAAATGATTACTCGGAAAGCAATAATTCAAGCCCTTCTTTTTGTCCATCCATCCGTCATCCATCCATCCGTCATCCATCCATCCGTCATCCATCCA